GTATATGTATATATATCTATGTATGTATATGTTATATATATATATATATATATATATATATATATATATATATTATATATATATATATATATATATATAATATATATATAAAATATACACACACACACATATATACACACATGCACACATACGCACACACACACACACAACACACACATATATATATATATATATATATATATATATATATATATAATATATATATAATTATGCAAATATATATAATATATATATATATATATATATATATATATATATATATATATATATATATATATACATATAAGTATATATAATATTGTGAAGAATTGGGGGGAGCGTAGAGTTGGTAACTGAAAAGGGTCTTGGCTTGCTGGTTTATTGGGGAAGGTAAAGGCGTGGCCCCACGAGTGACCCCGTGCTCCGGGTACCGAGGGCGGAGGGGGACCTGCACCAGGCTCGATGCCACTCGGCAGAATGGAAATAAAAAATACAGTTTACTCGGCAAACTTGGTGGTCGGCATAATTTTAGAAATCACTGATCATGGTTTGTAACTCTCGAAGTTTTCATTTTCATTTCAATTTAGTCCTTTTCGAAACAAGATATTAAAAAGTATGGTGTGGATTTAATTTTGAAAATATTACTCGGTAACCTTACTCTCGACACCCCCTCAAAAAAGTTTTCTAGCGCCGCCCCTGACCTGCACTGTCGTGCGTTTGCTCCTGTTCTCCTGTCAGCTCGGTCTCTCCCGTTTAACACCCGTGACAAAGGGGGTGAGTTTGCCGGAATTCCTCGAAAGGGAGAAAGTAGTTGAGCAAAGGCTCAGGCGTGGTCGGTGCGATGCCAGGAAGTCAAGCAGTAGCTAGGACCTTGATGCAAGGCGAACATATCCTATTCGAATCATATCGTTGACATATATATATATATATATATATATATATATATATATATTATATATATATATATATATATATATATATATATATATATATATGGTAATTTTCTATATTACCTTCGCCTCTCCGATATCGACGATTTTGGTATCGTTGGATTCCTCTCACTCTGTACAATCCAAATATGTAGGTTTTATTACGCGGAAACCCCCCATTAGCGGCAAACTTGGCCCCGATAGCAGGGGCGACGATGTCGGAGCGGCGGACGTAATATAGAAAATTACTATAAATATACTACAATCGTATCTGTATACAATGTTGACTAAGTCAAGGTTAGTATGCTGACTATGTCAAGGTTAGTATGCTGACTATGTCAAGGTTAGTATGCTGTTTATGTCAAGGTTAGTATGCTGACTATATCAAGGTTAGTATACTGACTATGTCAAGGTTAGTATGCTGATTCAGTGGGAATGTTACGAGGTAAATGTAATACGTCCGCCGCTCCGAGATCGCCGATAACTGTGTAACGCTTTAGCCTACCGGGATAAGTGGTGGAAGTTTTGTTTCCCCGGCGGGGGTTGGGGGCGGCAGCCCCCCCAGGGGGGATCGTAGGGGGCACAGCCCCCTGCAATGGAAAGTCATGTGAATAACCATGGTTATTTTCACTGTGGGTTATATTATTAGTGTTATTTAACCCCGCATTTTCCCTGGAACCTTTCATGCCCTCCTCTGCTATCGGGGCCAAGTTTGTCGCTAACGGGGGTTTTCGCGCAATAAAAACTATATATTTGTAATGTGGACAGTGAGAGGAATCCAACGATACCAAAATCGTCGATATCGGAGAGGCGAAGGTAATATAGAAAATTACCATATATATATATATATATATATATATATATATTATATATATTATAATATATATATATATATATATATATATATATATATATATATATATATATATATATATATATATATATATATATATATATTACATGTATTATAAATATATATATACATCTGTATTATATATACACACATATATATATATATATATATATATATATATATATATATATATATATATATATATATATATAATATATATATATATATATATAATATATATATATGTATATATATATATATATAATATATATATATATATTATATATAATATAATACAAATGTATTATATTATATAATATCTGTATATATATATATATATATATATAATATATATATTATATATATATATATATATATATATATATATATATATATATATATATATATATATATATGTATATATATATGTATATATATATATATATATATATATATATATATATATATATATATATATATATATATATATATATATATATATATATATATGTACATATAAATAAACACACACATATATAAACATACAAACATACACACATACCTGCACACATGTATTCATATAATGACACTCATTTATCGCAAATGCATATGAAACTTATTCTAAATAGATTAATGTCTTTTTTTCAGAGCGTGTGCTTCTTTGGCGTCATATACGCCAATAGCTGCGAACCTTCTTGTGTTGATACAGCGTTCTTCGGAGCCAAGAAATGTCTGCCAGCTGCCAGCAAGGTTGAAGACCCAATGAACTGCACGCAATACTACTACTGCCTGTCGAACTGTGAAGTTATGCAACATCCAGTGCCTTGTGATGAAGGCTCTTTCGACCCTGTCGCTGGCGCTTGCGGTGGACCGGCGGATTGCAAAGCCAGCTGCGATCCTGGCAGTTGCCATCTCACCTGCAACGGGACGCTCGACATGATCAGCGATCCAAGCGACTGCGGCAAATATTACATCTGCTTCCCGCACGGCGTGGAAGGGCCCTACAGTTGCCCAACCGATTCGCCCTTTTTCGACGGAGAGACCTGTGTGGTTGAAGATAGCGAGTGTTGCGAGGGAAGCTGCTTGCCTTTTTGCACGGCGGAAGGAGTGCAAATTCCTGACCCCACCGACTGTACAAAGTATTACATCTGCGTTATAGCAGGGGAATTAGCATCGGAAGATCTTCATTTCACTTGTGATTCTGGCAATTTCGACATATCTCTGGGGTATTGTACAGACAGTGCAGAATGTAAAGTTATGTGTCCGGGCGGTGTCCCGGGAGATGCCACAACCTCGGGCGGTAGCAGTGTCGCGTCCTCTACTCCATCAGTCACGCCGACCGGCGAGTGCCAAGACTCTCTCACCTGCACTGGAGTTGGCAATTTCGCCAAGTGCATCACATGCCAGCCCGAATATTTCCACTGCTCAGCCGCAGGACAGCCTGGAGTCAGCCAGGCGTGTTCGGGCGACCTAGTGTTCAACCCGGTCCCCAGTTTCCCGTACTGCGTTTTGCCTTCGAACTGCCCTTACACGCCACCGCTGTAGGACGGATCCCGCGTCTCTTTGCTGACCTTTTGTTCTTGGACATGGAAAGCCTTTGGGAAGTACTCGACATAACAAATAAGAAAATTGTTGATTATCAGATATGAAAACAATTTAATAATTAAAGTTGATTTACCACGTAATTTTGTAACAATTATTTAAACTGAAATAAACATAGCACATCCTTCTGGATCTCCATGAGCAAATTCCCAAAATTATGAGTGCAAACCACTTTCACAACCAATTGTTGAATACAATTGGCCAATGTGTAATGTGCTTGTGTGTAAAATGGAATTCACAAAAATGCAAAACTGAAAGATAGCCTTTTGACAAGATGTTCAGTACAAGAACAAATAACCAGACCAAATGTGCCATTGAGAGTTCCATCAGACAAACCTTGAATAATATCTTTGTAAAAAGCGGATCAGTACAATTTGCCGCCAAAAATAGAATTTATGCCCCATAAGTTATACTACTAGACGAAAATTACTTAACCTCAGAAATATGCACTATTCAATTGTATATTTATGAATCATTTTCACTTTTACAAACATCGACAAAATTTCCAACCAATGATGTTCATCTATTGCAGCCGCAATGCTATTTACATTGGAAAACTTCAAGGAACATAAGGGTATTTCATACAGAACGGGAAGACCACTTGGGAAACGCATGGTTTCCCCAGGGCGTGAACATTGACAACAAAACATCCATAATTCATTTCAAAGTAACAGATTCATCATCCTTTGCTCCTGACCTACAAATTAGAAAATTTGTGGATTAGGAAGGGACGACCGAAACTCAATGAATATTTAGCGTCCACTGACATAGAATTGCTCCACTTGTAACAGCAATAGTTGACCCTGGTTGTTATACTCATTTTCTATACATTCCGATATTCTAATATTACCAAATATAAACAGAACATGGCTAAATGTTCGCGTCCTTCTCTATTTTACGTTTATTACCTCCACCAAGGAGGTTATCTTTGTGATAGCGTTGGTTAGCTAGTTTGTTGGTTAACAGGTTAACTCGAAAAGTTTTGAATATCTATTTATGATTTTCAGTTTACCTGAGGTTTGTCTTAGTTTAACTTAAATGTTGGTGGTGATCCGGAACCAGGGTTGTTTTTAGTGATTACATGAGTTACCCCTATTGCAAATACGATTCAAAAAGTTATGAACAGATTTTTCTTTCTTATCACAGAGGTGTGTCTTACCTAAAATAGATTCCATTAGACTTAGTGGTGATCCTGATCATGATCTCGATCCAGGATTTTTTCTAATGATTGCATCAGTTAAAACTACATACAAGGGTAACTGTTATTGTTACCTTTAGTACCTCCGCCAAGGAAATCATGTTTACAGACATCACCAATGTACTTGAGAAAGAGGGGGCTGTAATTCTTCAGTTGTAAATAATTTTATTTCATCAATGACCCCATGCCTTTGGCGGATATATGCGGTCTCTGAGTGCTTCTAGTAGCTTTTAGATTTTATTTCTATCTAATGTTGTATGATTGAATTCAAGAATGAATAGTTTTATGTTGTGCTGATATTTGGAATGAATATATACATATACATAATGATATTATATATATATATATATATATTACACACACACACACACACATACACACACACACACACACACACACACACACACACATATATCATATATATATACATATACATATATATGTATAAATGTATATTTGTATATATATGTATATATATACATTACATGTATATAATATATATATCATCATCAGCCTGAGTCAATTAACTGCAGGACGTAGACCTTCTCCCAATTTTTTCCAACTTTTCCTGTCTAGCGTTTTTTGTTTCTAGTCTTGCACCCCAAGTTTCCTTATTTCGTCACACCACCTTGTCATTGGTATGGCCCTTGGCCTCTTTATGTTAACTATAGTCCAGTCAGTTACTTTCTTTGTCCGTCTGTTGTCTTGTCTCCGACATACATGCCCTGCCCATTGCCATTTTTGATACTCCTGAGTATATCTTCCACTTTTGTCTGTTCCCTGATCATCCTCATCCGATCTCTTGGGTTAATTGGTTAATTCCTAACTAATAAGTGCCCTCTCTGGGCACTTATTAGTTTCCTCTCCAGCAATTTGGTTGTAGTCCATGCTTCTGATCATAGGATGGACTGGATGCATTGGTTAAAGACTTTCCTATTCAAACATACTGACAAAGTATGCTACTGTGTCGCCGAGAGCGCTACAGCCTAGATTGATGCGTCGCTTCCTCTTCGCTTGATGTGTTTGTCTGTACGAGTTCCTTACTGTTACTACCTCTAGTGCTTCGCCTTGTACATGTACTGCTCGAATTGAACTGTACTGTTGAACATGACCTTAGTTTTTCTTGTTCATCTTAAGTCGACTTTTAGACTATCTATTCAGATCGTTTATTAATTACTGCATTTCATTTGCTTATTCACTGAACAATATCATCTGCAAATCTTCAATTGTTTAGGTATACGCCTCCTATTTTGATACCCTTCCCTTCTGATTCTAGTTTCTTGAATATTTCTTCGAGGCAGGCTGTAAACAGTTTTGGTGAGATGGTGTCGCCCTAACGCCATTTTTAGTTGGTATTTTATCGGTTCTGTGTGGAGCTTGATGGTTGCTGTCCCATCTTTGCATAAATCTTCCAATATCTTACAATTTACATCCTCTACACCCTTTTCAAAATCGATGAATGCCATACACAGGGGTTTCCTATATTCGTCAATTTTTCTCTTATTTGGGTGAGCATGTGGATGTGGTCTGTTGTTCAGAATCCACTCCAGAATCCTGCCTGCTCTCTAGGCTGGTTAGAATCCATACTGCCGGAGATGCGAGTTTTTCCGTTGAGAAGGCATTTGTTTAAAGATTGGCTAGTTTCACTGTTGCAATTTCTCCTGCATCTAATATAAGGTCTATACTGATTCTGTCTTCACCTGGTGTTTTCCTCTCTTCATGCTTTAAGTGTTCTTTTTATTTCTTCTCTTATAATATTAGGCACGTCTCTAGTTACCGCGCATTTGCCTCTATCCCATGGCTGTTCATTGAGTTATATAGATACCTGTAAAAGTCTTCCACTACTCTTAGGATTTCATTCTTATTATATGTCACTTCTTCGTCTGTTTTCTCTATTGCATACATTTGATTTCTTCCTATTCCTAGTCTCCTTTTAATTGCTGTTATGCTGGTACCTGAAATCACTGCTTCATTTATTATTTGATTATTGAATTTCCATACAACTTCCTTCTTTTTATTTATGGTCTTTGTTAGTTCAACTAGTTCTATCTTGTCCCTGCTTAACGATACTTTAATGGTCCTACGTTTTAGCTTAAGCTGTTTAGTATCTACCGAGAGCTTGCTGGAGCTTTGCTTGTCATTCTTAGTGCAAGTGCAGCTTCCTTTATCATGTCATTGAACGGTTTGTTAATTTGGTCAATGTTGAGATCTTTGTCGCCGAGAAGTGAATATGTTTTGGATCTTAAGACCAAATTCTGTCGCTCTGATCTTCAAGTTAGCTGTTTGCCTTCGGTTTACTTATGAGTTTGTTCCTCTCCCTTATGAGGGGTACTTTAATTTAGCCTCTGACCATTCTATGGTTGCTGCCAACATTTGCTTTATTTATAACTTCTGCATTTTTTATTATATCGTGCCTATTTGAAACTATGAAGTCAATTTGGTTTTGACGTTAGATGGCGACTGTTTTTCGAAGAATGTATACATGATATTGATCGATCGAGCCTCCGCAAAAGTGACTAGCACTTGTCCCTCTCATTTCTAGTGCTTATTCCGTAGTTCCCTACTACGGTTTCTCCTGTCTTTTTACATATTTTGGCATTAAAACCTCCCATGATTATTGTCAAATAGGTTATTATTTTCTCGCTGGCTTAATGAACAGCTTCATAGAAGCTCTCTATTTCTTCATCACTGTGGCTGCAGGTTGGACCATAGAGCTGAACAATCTTTAAGTTATACCTATTGTTTAGTTTTATTGTTACTGAAGTCACTCTTTCGTTTACAGCATAGAAGTCCATGATACTAAGCGTTTGTGTATTAAGAACCCCACCCCTAATTCCTGTTTGCTACTCTGGGATCTTCCTCTCTAATAGAGCACTTGTCCATCATTTAATATCTTCTGTTCTTTGACTAGTCTTCCAACTTCACTGAGTCGTACAACATCCCATTTAATGGAAGAGAGTTACTCAGGCAAAGCTAGTACGTTGGATTCAGCTCTCATGGTCCTCATATTGTATGTGCAAAGGTTCACCAACGTGGGTTGGTCTGTCTTCATATGGATATTTTTAGCACCCTCTGCTCTGGAGTGATCATAATCACTGCCGTAACCAGGGCTCCTTCGTCTCCAGGGAATGAGGGCCGTTGCTCTGCTTGTCCTGTCATGGTTTTTTTGATAGGGAGGTGGACAGCCGATTTACCTCCCACCTATTGGCTCAGGTGTATGTTGGTAGGAGGGGAGTAGTTTGGCCACTGATAAGTCCCACCAGCAGGTTTGGCCCAACCTAGTGTGGATTTAGGAGCAGCAACGCACGGCCTGCTCACTACGCCAGGGTATACTCCAACGAGCATGGGCTTGAGTATCAGAAATGCATATATGTGATTTCATTTTCATTTTTTCATTTGTACGTTTGTGTACTTGATGCAGACAAGTTCTATGCGTATGCTCGTTTTCGCGCACATGCGCATACAGCATACACCTTAACACATGTTCCTATGCATATGGATATGCAAACATATATAGTCATAGTCATATGCGCACATCGCCTGTACATGCGCATACATTATAATGTGCATAATTGTAGGGTTGCAGCAGGGGAAGGAGGCGGGTGCTGTGGGAGGGGAGGATTTACGATTTTGGAATGGATAAGGATGGGGTTTGGGATAAGAGGGAGTTAGAAAGGTGATTTTGTATCTGGCAATTTTTCAGAGAGCTGTCGCATTCCTTACCTGTTGCTGCTAGGCCTACCGGGTGCGAACTTGGCTGACCACAGGTCGTGGGGTCAGTGTCTCGCCTGAGATGCCAATTCTTGAATTACGCTTCATTAATACATGGTTCATATGGCGTATCTATTATTGAATGGCTGATGTATTATGCATAATACTGGCCGTGGCTGTTCTTAGCAAAGCTACTTGGGTGGAAACTGTTAATAT